TAGGTAAAACGAAATACGATTCATCGCCAAGCTGTCATTATTATTACTAAACGAGATAAATGGCCCGTTGAGGGAGAGAAACAACTGGTGCTAGGTTGATAGTGTTGTCTTTTCTTCTAAATCGAAACAAAAAACAAAATCACCACTTCAACTTTAATTTTAATAATTGCATGAAAGAAACTCTGCACGTAAACCACTTTTAAGATTAGACAAAATTGGCTTTTTAATTCATTGTTTACTCGAGAATAAATGACGTCATATAACTGTGTGCACTCTCCGGCATGAGACATTTTTCTACAATATGCTCCATGTGATGTCATATTTCGTTTTTTCGAATTACTATGCATGTTTTTACTCTGCTTGAGTTTTCTCTATAGCGTTCTTGACAGATAGATAGACAGACAGCGAAACTATTTTTATAGACGAGAAAAATGGCCCGTTGAGGAAGAATACAACGGGGGCTAGGAAGATTGTGCTGTCTATTTTCTTTACACTAAAACCAAAACCTAAATCACAACCTTAATTTAATTCAACCGGAAACAAAAATTGACATTGAAACGGATTTTTATCTAGAATCGGTAATTTAATCTGATTTAATCTTGATCTCCTCGTAGTTACTGCACATTGATACTAAATATAGTTGTAGCCATACTACTAAATATTGAAACTAATCTCAAAATTGACAAAAGTCGCATTTAGAGTTTCTTTTAGGTGACTCTACTTTCCCCTCCCCCCCCCCCCCCCCCCCCCCCCCCCCATCCCCACAAACACACTTCAAATCACATCTACCGTCCTATTCAACGAAATAGAATTTAAATAGAAAATATACTTCTTCAGTGTACGCCCCCGAAAATTTTAAGTACCCCTCCCCCTCAGGGGAGGAAAAAGTCTGAAAGAAACACTGATCGTATGTGTTGCTCATACAGACTAAAGGTAGAGCCTACTTCTATAATTTAGACCTAGTTTCCTACGTTTGGCTGATAAACCTCACTCTCGTAGACAGTGGTTTTCAGATATTTTTCTGGGGGTGGGGCACTTGATTTTTTTTTTAAAGAAACTGCAAGCAAACAACTTTTTAGATTAGACACATTCATTAGGCGGTAATTTTATTATAGAGTATAGATAACGCCATTTACTTTGAGTTGGGGGGGGGGGCGGTTTAGACGTTCTTTCGCGAAGGTGGGGATTCGCCCCTACCCGAAGAATTGTATGAAAGAAACTCTTCACGCAAACCACTTAGATTAGACAAAATTGGCTTTTTAATTCAATATTTACTCGAGAATCAGTGACGTCATATTATTGTGTGCACTCCCCGGGCTTTAGAATATTTTCTATTATATGCTCCTTGTGACGTCATATTTCGTTTTCGTTTTACTATGAGAGTTTTTATTTTGCTTGTGATTTCTCTATAGCGTTCATGTCAGACAGATAGATACATAGATAAAAAGGCAGTGAAACTATTAGTATAGACGAGAAAAATGGCCCGTTGAGGAAGGATACAACGGGCGCTAGGTTGATAGTGCTGTCTCTTTTCTCTAAACTAAAACCAAAACCAAAATCACCACCTATACTTCAAATTTAAACGGAAACGAAAAATGACATTGAAAACGGATTTTTATCCAGAATCGGCATTTAATCGAATTTAAGCTTGATCTACACGTAGTTACTGCACATTGATACTAAACACAGTCGAAGTCAAATCCCTAAACCTTGCACCTAATCTCAAACACGAATTAAGTCGCATTTAGGTGGGGGGGGGGGGGGGGGGCTCCCCACACACCCTAAAGCACGTCTACCATTCCATTCAACGAAATATACTTTTTATAGAAAACATATTTTACCTGTGTTCGCCCCCTTCCAAAAAATTTAGTCCACCCTCACCCCCGAAAATTTCAAGAACCCCTCCCCTTCTGGGAGGAATATCTCTGAAAGAAACACTGGTCGCATTTGTAGCTCATATAAACTAAAGGTAGAGCCCACTTCTATAATATTGACCTTTTTCCTACTTTCGAACGATATAAATTTTACTCAGGCAGACAGTGTTCGTTTTAGTCTTTTTACCGAGGGGGGGGGGGGGGTGGGGCACTTGAATTTTTGCATGGGCGAATAAATTTCGACGGGTCGGGGAAGGACGACACTGGTAAAATTTATATATTTTCTCTATAAATTAAATTATGCCTTTTTGGGAGGGGGGAATTAGACGTTCAACCGTCGGGGGGGGGGGGGGGGGGGGGGGAATAGACGTTCTACCGTTGGGGGTGAGGGAGGGGGTAAAGGGGCTTTGGCCCTAACAGAAGAGAAACTCTTTACGCAAAGCACTTATAACATTAGAAGACACATAATTTAGGCCGTAATGTCAGTATTTTTATTATGGAGTCTCGATGACGTCATTTATTTAAGGGGGGGGGGGGGGGGGTTCGGCATAGACGATCTACTGGGAGTGGGTCTTCGCCCCTACCCGATGAGATGCATCAAAGAAACTGCTTACTAAATCAAATCAAATCAGTGTCATAGTCAGTAGATTACACGGTGGCCCTGTTCTCAACGAAAGCGAACACGTAATGTTTATAGGATCAAACTCCGCTAAGTCCCGATTTGAAATTTCATTGTTCCGCATTTACATATGGCACTGCTCCCAAGTAGTTAAAAGTTTTAGTATTTTACTTAGGGATGGTATATTGTTGAATTAGCCTTACATCAATACCGTGCTTAGTTTCGTCAAAAGTAGAAAAGCATAAATGTTTTAAATATTTTTAATATTCAGATAATATTCTGACAAATGTTATCAAGTGATTATTTATTTAAAGAAAAAATTGCATAATCAATACATATGTATAAAGTATGATTTAGTCGAATGTCTTTAAAATAATAACATCACCACTTTTTACTTCTGCTGCTGCTGTACTAGAGCGCACATTTACAGAAATAAGTTCCTTGTCTCGACAATGTTTAGAAAGTAAACGATATATTAAATTGGCTATCTTTTTAAAATAGCTTTAACACATACTAACACTAGTTCTGCGAATATATTTATACACATACAAACACGCACAAACATATATAAGTATATGAATACATACATAAATGTGTATGTATGTATTCTTCGTAGTTGTGTGTATGTGGCGATAATGTTGATGTCGTTAATACAATGTTATTATTAATAAAGAAAAAAGAAATGTTTAGCTGTCTGAATATACGTGTATGTTTTAATTTCATTCCGTTTCAACTAGTAATAATAAATACAAATATTCGAAATTAATTTAATTTCAGTTAAAATGTGTCAACATGAACGATCGTGTTTTAACGGACATGATAAAGGCTGGAGTAGATGTCAAAAGAACATTGTGTGTTACCAAGACTGACGGTGGAGGATGGATTATTATACAGGTTAATTTTTTTTTTCTTAGCCATTCACCATTTTCCGATATATTTCTGTGCTAATGTATTTATTCTATTGAAAACAGATGTATGATACCAATGATAGACACTTAGCTACACACTATAAAAAAAACGTAATAGTTGACCTACATATGCAGTGTTTGTATAATATATTTTGTCTATTTGAAATTACGATGACTCTAACATGTTTTATCGACATCAAAAAACATCAGCTCTAGTTGTTCTATAAATCTGGTAGACAGCAGATTAATACTCTTATTGGTTTACCCGAAGTCCACAACAGTATTTATAATATATCTCATGGTTTTGGGGAGAAAAGCTGAATCTAGTAGTTTATTTTGTTCATCTGAATAAAATTTAGGATATTAAAATAAAATAGACAAAATCAGATTATGTGATAAACTACAATATTGATTAGTGCATTTTTTAACACTAAGTATTTGTAAAATATCATTTCTTTTGTATGTTTAAAATTGGGGATTTATTTGGTTTCGAGTTTGAACAGAAGCAAGCGTTAAATTATGTGTTTTATCTCCTGATATGTGTAACTGTCTAATACACAAAGTATTGGAAATATTTAGAGAGTTAATGTGAATAATATTAGGTCTTTGATTTTATGTAAATTGGTTGTTGTATGATATAACTTGAATCCTAATTGACTTCAAAGATAATTAAGCCTTGGTATACATCAAATCAACTCAATTAACCCTTTGAGCCCTTGCCTAATTTCTCCCATTTCCTGAGCTCCCAGGGCCAAACCAATTTTTACTTATCTGCTTCTAACTTTGGCTATAACTTTTGAACCGTTTGAGATAATCAAGCCAAATTTGGTATCCAGACTCAGGATCAAACAACAATGCAGCAATATTCGGAAATTCTTTATTTTTTACAATGTATGAACAGAACAATGTATATAAAACGAACACATAATTATATCAACACGTCAAGCAGACTGAAGTTTTACAGAACCACGTGCATCAGAACTTACTAGAACAGTTTCATTGTCACTGTCAATTTCAATGTCAATATGTTCAGTCTCAAATTCAACGTCACGAGCATCACAATATAGACCAGGAATATTATCTTCTTCATCAGAATCAATAAGTAGTTGTATTGCCTGAGATGCAGTCATTCTACTTCTTTTGTTGATATTTCAGTCTTTTGCTTCATCTTTTGCACCAACTTTATGTGCTGAAGTCGATGACTGTGGCTCAGCTTTTCGTTTCGGCGGCATTGCTACGAAATGTAAACACTTTAACTTTAAAATCTATTTTTAGAATCATAACCCCGCACTAAAAAGACATATACGCAGTTTTAGTCAGTCTTCCGCCTTTTATATTTAATTAGACGGTATACCGGCCGCTAGATCATGGGGCCGGAAAATCGACTTTTCGGACATATATGCCTAATGTTGAAGCCGGTTTACCGGCCTGGCGGGTTCAAAGGGTTAACCGTAGTTTTACCAATGCTATTATTTCGTAGAGAAGCGTTTTAATTATTTAAAACGTTTAAAATGTTATCTCGTTTGTAATTTGAAGCATAATTAATCTTTGGAATCAACTTGCTAAAACTTTATTGTAGTGGTACCGTTTTTCTTACAGAGACGTATCAAAGGTGATGTGAACTTTACAAGAACTTGGAACGATTATAAAAACGGATTTGGTTCAACATCTGGAGACTTTTGGATCGGAAATGACGTCATTTCTCACTTGACAGATTCGGTAAGGAAATAATGGCTACTTGAAAAACATGCATGGAAACTGAATTTTGTAATAAAACATTACGAAGTAAAACTGAGTAATGTGTTTTAGGGTACTGTGTTAAGTTTATTGTACAACACACACACACACTGCACAAGGTACTTGACATCACTTAATTTCTTATTCCTAGAAATCAAATTATTCAATACATATATACTCTAGCTTTTAGTACTTGTATTGGCGATTAAATACATTGTAGTAACTAATATGACACGGGTAATTACGTATGAAACACGCTCTTTTGGTTGAGTGATTTTTGTATTTTACTAAAATAAAATATTATCTGACAAACTATAATACATCATCTCAATTGACACAACGTGCACGTATACAACTGTTAAATGTAGTCTATTTAAAAAAAAACATTTTTTATCTTACTATCGGTAAACAAAAGTCTTGTCCAATTCATCGCCAGATTTCATATTATTTATATTATTATATGATCTCTGATGAGATACAGTTATTTATTTTTTAATATCTCAACTCTAGAAATAATGTTTTGATTTTATCTTCACGGGTTCAGGAAAAGCTGAGGTTAGAATTTTACATATCTCGCCTTCCCACCCTCTTTAATTATCCTCAAGTCATTACACCCCTATCATTTTCTCAGAATAACTACCCCTGTAAATCAATCCCACTCAACAAACAAACTGCAATAGGATAATGACCCATTTTATTATTCAATTGACACCAGTACATAGAGAAATATATAAAATGGTTAGCGTTATGTAAAGCTTAGGGTTATGAATAGGAGAAGGATCGGACTGGTAAAATGTTGAAATTTAAAGGAGAAGACAGTAATTACAGATCTAGGGTAATACATTTTTGAGAAGAGGTTATTATTGACTAGCAGTGAATGACTGATTAAGTAAGTGAAGGATATTGTAAACAATTGACATTCATACGTGTGTTTAATCTAGATATTTCTTGGAAAAAAAATATATTGATCTGGTATTATCATTGCGGAACTAGAAAAAAAAAAGGATCCCCCGCAAAAAATTTGTGTAGCTTGCTTCAATTTAATTTTAAATTATCTATTTCCTGAATAATTTAACCAATTTTTTAAATTTTTTAAATTTTAAATTTTAAATTTTTATTAACGAGTTACATAATTTAATTATTTGTTTGCATTTTGTTTGTTTATTTTTAATTAGTTTAATTTTTTAAATTTTAATTTTTAATTAGTTTAATTATTATTAACTAGTTACGTGATTAGATTTTAAGTTTTTTATTTTTTTAAATTTTTTAAAATTTTTTAAATTATTAATTTTTACTTTTAAATTTTAATTTGTTTATTTTTTGTTGATTTGTTTGAAATTCCTTTTATTTCTTTGTATGTTGTTGTTTAAAATAATCTAGTAACGCTAGCGTATACAAAAGGTAGAAGGTTCTTTGTGTCCTGACTTCCATTTAACCACCACAGCTACTCATTAGCGACACCTGTTACTTATCGATTCACCCGTTTCTCTCGACTACACACATCCACTAGCGACTCCTGTTGCTCGCTAATGGGACCCGACACGTATTGAGCGAGCAACGAACCTTTGTTACTTAGAAGGAGCGTACACGGTCCAGAGTTAATATTGATCGCACCCACGGGGCCATCAAATGAGAGCCCGCCTTATTAAATTTGGTCACGCATCATGGATTTATGGCGAGTTCGCTGAAGCGATCACCGCAGGGGTCCCGCGTTTAATCGAATGCGCTAAGTGGTTAACCGCAAAGCTACCGTTAAGTGTGGCGACAGCTGTTACCACATTAATGAGTTTTTCCCCGGTCGCTTTGACAGCTGTTCCCGCACTTAGAGGCGCCTCCCGGGCTTTTTTCATTACCTTGTTTGTTTTCTTGTTCTATCATGCTACACGTATACACATTCACACCGGTCGCTTTGACAGTTGTGCAACAGCTGGCGCCATACTTTCCACTAACAGTTATACGTACAGTCTCATAGGTTTTTCATCGAGTAAAGAAATAATATCGATCGAGACGCGTCGACCTCGTGTATCCATTAACCAACTGTGCAACAGCTGGTCCCGCACTTAGCCACAGCTCTCGGCTTTTTTTTTTTTTCATTACCTTGTTGGTTTTCTTGTTCTATCATGCTATACGTATTCACCCGTTTCTCTCGACTACAAACATCCATTAGCGACACCTGTTACTCGCTAATGGGACCCGAAACGTATTGAGCGAGCAACGAACCTTTGTTACTTAGAAGGAGCGTAAACGGTCCAGAGTTAATATTGATCGCACCCACGGGGCCATTAAATGAGAGCCCGCCTAATTAAATTTGGTCACGCATCATGGATTTATGGCGAGTTCGCTGAATCGATCACCGCAGGGGTCCCGCGTTTAATCGAATGCGCTAAGTGGTTAACTGCAAAGCCAGCGTTAAGTGTGGGAACATCTGTTACCACTTTAATTGATTCCCCCCCCCCCCCCCCCGGTTGGGTCCAGTGCTTTTCACTAACAGTTATACGGACAGTATCATAGGTTTTTCATCGAGTAAAGAAATAGTATTGATCGACCCGTGTCTAGTCTATGTACCCATTAACCAACTGTGCAACAGCTGTTGCGCGACCACAGCATAGGATCTGGTAATTAACGCGAAGCCATTAAGGACTTTGGTTGTAACTATTCGCTTATAGCGAGGGTCAGCGAAAACAAAATATATTTAAGGGTTGGAATTTTCTTTCAACCACCGTTAAGTCAGGTTTGAGACGAAACGAAGTCTCGGTAGGTTCGTGTTTTTTTAATGGGCGACAGGGCGACTTGGTGCGTTGGTACGTAGGTATGCGGGGTAGACATGTTTTTTACAAGTCTGGAAAAGTAATTACGTTTTTTTATGACCGTTCCGATTTTCTTTTGATCTGACCACCATTTGACCACACTGACCCAGATAAATTTAACAAATGTTCAATACATAGTCGCTTATAGTAACATGGGTGAGGGGTGTAAGCAGGCGGGTGACGGTGTGAACAGGTGATTGAAGGGTGAGCACGTAGGTGAAGGGGTGAGCAGGTCGGTGAAGGGGACAGGCGTAGGAGTAAAGGATATATAGTAAAAGATTCCACCACCTAAGTGAGGTGGCTTTTAATTTTAATTTTAATTTTTTAATTTAATTTAATTTTATTTTTTATTTTTTTCATCACCTGTTAACTTTAAGGTTCTATAACTCTATATATTTAAATACATTTTTGATTCAACCGAGTTTACTTTTCCTAACGTAAGTACATGTAAAGAGGGGTTTCCAATAGATCTGTAATGAATTAGGCCTTTCTGACTATGACTTGTTGCCCAGGTGTTGACATAATACGCTTTTTTGAGATACACGTGTACACACACACACACACACACACATACACGCGCGCGCGCGAAATTCATACTAGGTCGATAAAGGCGGAGAGAACTTATAGGTATACATTATCATGGTGACAACAAAAGAGATCCTTATTTTATTTACATGAAAGCGTGTTTCCAAAAAGTGTCACCATGCCGTTGTCATTTTCGCAGCGGGGTTTAGTTTAAGTGCAGCTCGTGCACGTTTGTTTACATTTTAAAAGTCGTGTCGCGTGTCTTCCCTAGTAGAGAAACGAGAGGAAAGACAACTGTTCTAAAATTAGAACAGCCTTGTTTACATCCACGAGTATCGTCCCTTGTGAAAAAATTCGCGTCAGAATCCTTAACTAAACATTCAATTTCTTTAACAAGTTAAAAAATAATTTAGGAAGACAAGGGTTAACAACATTAGACGCCACCGTTTTTTGTTTTTTGTGACGACAAGACACAATACACTTTTGTATTTTATGTCCCAAGTAGAGGGGTGGGATATTTGGTAATCTATCGCTTTAGCGTAATCAATTCGGCCGTCACTAGTAACGTAGGGATAAGGTAACTAATAAATATGACTTAAATATGGATATATTTTTGCATATTTTACTAAAATATTAAAGATAATTGAATATTAAACCACATTTAAGGTTTAAATCAATAAAAATGTCAGGAAATTAAAGTTTAACAACGATGTTACAGATACTAAATTTGCTATTAAAAACAGCGGCCATCTTAAGAAAATATTATTTTGAGTCATTTCCCTTTAATTTCTATTTGTATGGAAATGTATTGATGTTTGCTGTTAAATAGGTTAGTCTTGTGTTTAAATACAAAGCATGCGTTTTTTTTTAAATTCTGCCCTTTAAACAATTTAATTGACTGACAATAAACATCAGTTCTATAATTATTATTATGAGATGCAATTTTTATACATTAAGATACTCCCTATTTTTATAGAGCTACCACTACATATCTAATGTTTATTTAAATATTAGTTTGAGTTCATTCTTATTGTTTGTGTTATTGTTTGTTTCCTATTTTCATTTAATATTTTCATGCTTTTTTCCTTTAATTAGTGATTTAATCACAAATGACGTCCCGTTTTTGACCTCTCTTCACCTTAACCCCCCCCCCCCCCCACCCCCATTTTTGCCGTCACGAAATAGTCGTAATGTCGAAAATTACCTTTTTGCCCTGTCTATTAAAAAGTCAAGCCATAATTCTAATGAAAAATATTTTTAGCATTTTTGTATTAGGCGAAATACATAACGTTTCACGTTTCTTACCCCTCCCACTTCCCGCGTATAACGTCGTCTCAAAACCAGTTACTCCACCCCTTAAGTGTGCGATGTCATTTAGGGTAGATGTCAAGTCCTATATACATTTTGAATAACCTTTGTTGTCAAAATGTTGATACCAAATACCCAAAATGAGTTATATGGGGTTGCCCATAAACGATGTCACATATGCAATGCTAATGTGGCGTCAACTTACGCAGGGTGGTCGGGGGGGGGGGGGGATGCGTGACGTCTATTTTGGAATCTTCTATAAAGCTGTGCTCAGTGAAAATGAGGAACATAAAGCGTTCGTTTTCATGCATACATTTGCTCATAACTATTGCATGCCTGTTG